GGAAGGGAGGCCAAGACCCCTACCAGCAGTCAGGTCCAGCCTGCCTCACAGAGAGTCCTGAGCCGTCTCTGTCTTCTACCCTGGCTGTGGTCTGCTGTTACAGAGGAGCTCTGGGGATGAACAGCTGCCCAAGCCCTGCTGTCTTTGTGCCACCTCCAGGAGCCTTAGCCTGTCCCTGCCAGCCTATGTGTGGCAGGGAGTGGGGACAAAACCCTGACCGACAACTTGAGTTGGATACTCCCTGCAGGCCTGCTCGTAACCATGAAGTACAGGGACTCCAATGTCCTTCCACAGGAGTGGCTAAAAGGCCAGCTCCAGAGAGACCCACCGCCTGGGCTCTGGGTGAATTTACTTCTCCCTCTAAGACGTCGCCTCTGCTCTGTGGTCTGAAGGGTTAGTTCTGAGCTCACAGGGTCAGGGCTGGGTGCAAGGATGGCTAGGGACAGTGCCTTCAGTCACTGAACAGAATGCAACCTTTAAGACCATGGTAGCTCCACACCAGTGATAGGGAAGGCGGAAATTCCATGGCGCATGGGAGGGTGGCCAAAATGTGCATGTTGTCCCCTCCCTACCCCTGTGCGAAAAGAAAATGAAGCTTTTAGCTGGCCACCGGCTCATGCCTGTAATCCTAGCTACCTGGGAGACTGAAATCAGGAGGATCACATTTTGAGGCCAGCCCAGGCAAACAGTTAATGAACACTGGTATTTTTTCTTTTTTGTAGTACTGGGGCTTGAACTCAGGGCCTTCACCTTAAGCCACTCCACCAGCCCTATTTTTGTGTTGGGTTTTTTTGAGATAGGGTCTCATGAACTATTTTGCCTGGGCTGGCTTTATACTGCGATCTTCCTGATCTCTGCCTCCTGAGTAGCTAGGATTACAGGCATGAGCCACTGGCGCCCAGCCCTGAGTTTTCTACAATGAACTTGATACTTGGAAAATAAGGGGAAGACCAAGGTGCATTTCTACAGACACGGCTGCTGCCCTCAGGAAGCTGAGAGCTGGCAGGGCCCCCTCCCATGTAACTGTCTCTCAGCCGCCGAACTGCAGATTCCTTGGAGACACAGGTGTGCGTCACAGTGCTTGAAATCTGCTAGACTAACTGATGGAGCACTCTAACTCTAAAACAGCCACAGGACCTTTGCTGCCTTCACCAGGCTCAGGCTGATGTGCTGGGTACGGGATGGGGCAGTGAGCACTGGGCCTCCAGTCTGCAGGCAGCAAGTACTGCTGTTGCTCCTGACCTAACTAAAGGATGCGCTCATGTCCAGGGGTCACCAAAGTTAGGCTAGAGGAGTGGCCTCATCTGAGAGGTGCACACTAGGGACCCTGAATGCTCCAGGACTCCATATGACTCCTGCCCAGCAACCCCCAACAACCTATGCTGCAGAAGGCGGAAGCAGGACCCTCCGCTGTCCACGGGAGCTGGCTTCCTGTCTGCCCGGGAGGTGAGTAATGTCCGCTCCCTGCCCCCCATGCATCCCTTCTGAAGGCCAGGCCTCCCATTTTCCATTCAGGAAGGGGCAGAGTAAGGGCTCTGGGCGGGGGGGTTGCATCAGGGGAATGGAAGGAGGGGCCCACAGTGAGGGTTGGGACCCTGGCCTCAACAGCCACTTCCCTGGCACTGCTCTCCAGAACCTCCCAGGGCACAGAACCCTGTCAAACCCAAGAGAAAGCCCAAAGCCTTGCTGGGGCTTGGATCCGGATCTGAAGGGGCCTTGGCCAGTGCACGGGCAGAGGCAGAGGCAGAGGCAGCAGCAGGAGCCAGCCGTGCTGCCCTGGGCTGCGCAGTGCTCTGGGTGTGTGGAGACTCTCGCACATTGTGGGCCTGCCAAAGGGGAAAGACGAGTCTCAGTGCCCTCCCTCCTGACTCTGGCAGGGCTCCCAGTCTTTCCCAATCCTCAGTTTTCTCCCCTGAGAGATGGGACGAGACCAGCGTCCTCACACAGGCAGCCATGGCCCTGACAGAGCACTGTGGAAGTGACATTGCCACCACCTATGGTTTCAAGGACTCAGAAACAGACCAGAGTGATACGGGCACAGAGCTGCCACAAAGGTCTGGGAGAGGAAAGCTGGCAGGCAAGGCAGGATGTGGGCAAAGCCTGACTGGTTCAGGGTAAGTGGGTACCACCCCTGGCAAGACCTCCTAGACAAGCTGCCCTGGGTAGCAGGTGGCATGCTCTCCATTCACTCAGGCTCAGCAGTCCCAGCCACAGGACCTGCCCTGCCAGGACCCAGGCTCAATTAAAATTTTAAAAAAGTTGGCATGGTGGTGCATATCTGTAATTCCACCACTTGGAGGCTGGAGGACCTTGAGTCTAAGACCAGTGTGGGCTATAGAGTAAAAGACCTTGTCTCAAAAGAAAAAGGTCCTAACAAACTCACAAAGAAGAGGCTATAAGAAGAAGCTGCCTGCTTCTTCCAGTCTCTCTGGGCTGCAGGGCGGTCAGTGGGGGTGGAGCAGAGAGATGTGGCACTGGCACAGCCCTAGAAGCCCTGCAGCTACAGGAGCAGGGCCAGGCGCTTAGACTGGGGAGCTGTCTCAGGAACAAAGAGCCCAACTTATCCCTAACGAGGAGTGGCCATCCATCTCCTCTGCATGGCGTGCTCAAGGGCAGCTTGCTATATGTGTGACCTCATCTGTACATTCGGCACAGATCTCCAGCAGCCCCTAAGATATGCCAGGCATGTGTCACAGGGCAGAGAAGAGACCAAGACCAACACGAGGTGCACCCTGCAGAGCCCACAAGGCAGGGTGGGGTGAAGGGAAGAGGGGCACGTTCCACATGCCATAGGGCACACATCAAGCCTCTCTGGGGGTCAGTAGATTGGGGATGACTTCCAGGATAGACACACATATAGCTGGGTGCAGAGCACAGGGCCCCCCAGAGCCACTGGCTTGGCCTGTCCTTGTCCCTAGTTCTTCATGCAAACTGCCTGCATTGTACACACCTTCAGAGTACTGAAGCAGCTGGAGGCTAGACCATGACTCCAGATCATGTTCATGCCCAACCAAAATTTCTGGGAGCTCTTTGGGCAGACATGGTAGTCACCAACAGGCCCAAGGGACCAGAAGGGCAGCAGAGACCAGACCAGCTGACTGAACCTTGTGGCCTGTGACCCCCTACGTTAGGTCTAGGACAGGCTCTGGTCAACAACCCACAGTCTGCAGATAGCCATTAATTAAATAATTGAATTGGTGATATCATGGGTGATACCATCCCCCCTATCCCTGTCCCAACTCTGGCTGTCTATCCTAATAAACACCCTTGTCTTGCTGGCAGGCCAGTCTGCCTCAGCCCCAGCCCCAGTCCCAGCCCCAGCCCTTGGCCAGCAAGGGCCCGAGGATAAGCGTGGCTTACACCCAGGATGGCCTCACTGGCTCCTGTGTGCAGCCTGCAGGAATGACCCCAGCAGTCTCTGTGCCTCTCAGCCTTGTCTGCATCATCGGCAACCTCGGGACAGTAGTGATGATGTCAAGGGTACCCACAGTTCCCCAGAAACCACCTTCTGCTGCCAGTCCCGAGGGCCCCAAACCATGGACTCTTCCCAGGAAGCGTCTGGAACGGTGAGCACACAACAAAGGGTGGTCCTGAGGAGCAAAAGTGCAACGACTCTTTGGGAATGAATGGGGAATACAGTTGTACCACTCTGGGCTTTTAAAAAGCTCTTCTGGATTCCTCTTGGGATGGTATGACCAATGGCCTTAGCGGAGCATTGCTGCCACAGCTCTTGGTGTGTCTTTAGGTGTGGCCTCGGTCAGTTTAGATGAGGCGGGAAGTCAGCTGCTGGGCATGTCCCCCCACCCCCAAGCAGCATGTGGCGCCTCCAGCCCCCACCCCCCGTGGGAACACCGGAAGGCAAGAGATGGTTTGGGAGGCTCGCAGCACGAGGGGGTCTCACTGACCTCACAAGGCATCAAGGCACAAAAGCCTTTTCTTTCCTAGCAGCCTCGTACCCCACTCCTCACACAGCCAACCCCAGGTTCCCCAGTCCCGGGCCAGACACCTCCAGCTGCCTGCAGACTGGGGCTCCTCCCAGACAAAGCCGGATTCCGGCTGGGATGGGAGGGCAGGCGGGTGGAGGCAGGAGTGAGGGTTCTGCCATGGAGACGAACTTTGACCCAAACTGCAAGGCTCCTACCCCTTATTTACTCTTTAAGGCTCACCCTTTTCGCAGAGTTAACATTACACCTCTTCTTAACCCCGTGCCTCCCTCCCACATTCCAGTCCCCGACCTTCAACCCCTCCTAATTGCTGGCTCCTACACCCCAGTTCTCTGAGGCACAGCTTTGGCTCATCTCTTACTCCCAGTCACCTCCTCCCTGGAAATCAGAGCCCCACCAGGGCATTCTGACTACAGGTGCCACCCCGTGCCGCAAACCTGTCATACCAGGCTGATGCCAGAAACTCAGAGTCCAATCCCTAGGCTGTACTTAGGCATTCTAGAGTGGTTCTCTAGAGTGTGACTTCTGACCCTAATTCTCTAACCCCTAGAAGACAGCTGGAAGAGGAAGCAGCCTGGACCTCTCTGGACGGCCACCGAGGCCAGTGCCTGTGTGTGGACAATTACATACCAGGTGACTCTGTCCTACAGCCAGTGACACCTGGGCCACAGGAATGCAGCTCTCGCTTTCACTCCTGGAGCACTCTGGGTCAGGATCATCATTAACCTTCCCCAGCCCAACGATGAGAACGTCCACAACCACATCCCACAAGCCCATGGGCATGGGAGATGGACGCTGGGAGTTGGCACGACACCCCCTCGGCCAACTGTCCTGTGGGTTCTATCCATTCATATCTGGGGCAGCTGGCTCTCTGGAACCAGGGGCTGGGAACCATGAGGCCCCTGGAAAACTGAGAACACCAGGCTGGCTCTAAGTCCAGCAACCACCCCCCAACTTCATGTTGGTGAGCTCTACCTCCCAGAGTCTCCCAGAGCCATCCAGGCTACCCACAGGACAATAAGGACCCTCCCTGACTAGCCACACAGGGGTACTCACCGTCCTCTTGGCTGTGGAGGTTCTGTGGGCTCCGCATCCTCTCTTCCTGGCTGGGACTCAGGCTGGAGGCCAGGTGGGGGTCAGCTGACATCCATGTGGAGTCATTCATATCAAAATCTTCACTGCTCACAGAAGTCTCATCCTGAGCAGAGACAAAGAATGTGGGCGTTCAACAGGGACAGGCTCACGTAGGGCTGCAGTGGCCTTTGAGGGGACAGGGAGCCCCCAAACCTTACACCAAGGACTAGATGGCGCTCCCTCCTGCCTGCATGCAACTGGCTGGGCTCTGGTTCCTGTCGGAAGCCAGGGCTGAGGCCCCTGCACTGACTGTAATTGAACACGATTATGAGGTCTCGCATCCTGTAGGGCGGATTGGGCCTGGCTCTTACCCTTGTGAGCCAAGGTTGAAACAAGCGCTGTAAACAAGGGCCACAGCTCCCCACCCACAGCCTGGGAAAGAGGGCTCACCCTGCACAGGGCCAGGAGGCCAGCACTGGGGAGCAGGACATGCTGGGCACTGAGGAGGCCAAGTGGGCCACCCCCACCAGGCCTGAGCATGCATGGAATTCCTTTCTCCCACTCCCCCAGCCCAGAGGACATTTCTGTCTTCCTCCTTCCTAACCTTTGCTGGGCTTCAAAGATAGGCTCTTGGGCAGCTTCCAGAGCTGAAAAGGCCAGCTCCAGAAGTGTGGAGAAGGAAGGGGGTGGGGCAGGCCAGGGTTCTGATCAGACCGCAAAGGGGGTTCAGCTCCAGGGCCTGGGGGGGCACCAGGGCCTTCCAAACAGCCGGATGGCCTGCTGGAGAGGACCACGCCTGCTCCTCTCTCATAGCCGCTGGCCAGTCATCCGGGAACCCCCGGGGCGGGGCCCCTTCAATCCAGCCCTCCAGCAGGAAGGGACCCCACCTCCTTCTGGCCCAACCTCTTTCAGGAGCAGCAAGCAACTGTGTTTGGGAGGCGTCTGTAAAACCCAGGAAAGATGACCCAGTGGCTCCACACCCCACACCCTGAGCTGGCCTCGCTCCCTTTTCTCCCCCGCCCCAGCAAGATACAATGGCCTCTGTGGGCCTATGGCAGAGCACCCCCCAAGCCTCCCCTCCAGGGCCCCCTTACAGACGTCTCTTTTATGGTGAGCAAACACACTCTGGGTTGAACTTTCTTCGCTGAGTCCCTGGGGCAGACACATCTGCTCCAAGTGCTAGGGAACTGGGCTCAACCTCCTCTCCCTCCCCCACCATGCTAGCAGGGAGTTTCCTGGAATTCACAGCTTCTGTGCAGCACTGTGGGACCCTCTGCACTGGGTTGGGAGGACAGGAGTTGGGCCACCACACTGTGGGGCCCCACAGAGCACCCTTGGTGCCTTACTTTGGGGACAGAGCTCATGTGGGCTCCCCCATACAAGCCCTAGGCACTCACAGCCCAGGGCTGCCTGTTCCACAGGCACAAGCACTTCCTCACACAGCCTTCCTGCATGGAAACACGCTCACTCGCATCTACTCACACCAGAGGGACATGCGCAGCTGGAATGTTCTCTCTGCACAAGGAACAACAATTCTTACACAAGAAGGGGGGTGGGGGCAGGGAGAAGCTGGCAGGTGGAGGGTCCCTTGGAGGCACAGAGCAAGGCCACTGGGCGGTGGCTCTGCATCTTCCCAGCTGGCCCTATGGCAGACTCTGGGAGGCAGGAACAGGGTTTCCTCACTTGAGTCCCTGCACACACTGAAAGCAGGAAGACTCCTGGGTGCTGCTGGAATACATATGAATTAAAGACCCAGTTTCCTATTAACTTTTTTTTTTTTTTTTGCCTTGCTTCCTGGGGATCTTAGCCAGTAACCCAGACTCTTGTGCACTCAGGCACTCTACTGCTGAGCTATACCTCAGCCCCATTTTTTTTTTCTTTTTCTGAAGACATGGCTGCTCTATAGCCTAGGCTGGCCTCCAACTTGCAATCCTCCTGCCTCAGCCTCCCAAGTGCTGCAGTCTCTGGTGGGCATCACCACATCAGACTGCTATTAACATGTGAAAGCATCACCTACTCAGAGTTTCTGTTTATTCATTCGACAAGTATTCACTGAACACCAACTATAGGCCAAGCATCTTGTTAGGTACTGGAAATTCAGCTGTGGACCAGACACAGCCCTGACCTTTCTGGATGTACAAGACATCCAGGTGGCAGAAGACCTTTCTGGATGTACAAGACATCCAGGTGGCAGAAGACCACCTTAGGCTGATAGTAACGAAATAAGGCAAAGGAAGGGGGAGGGTGACCTGCAGGGCGGGCTTTGCCAGGATGGACAAGGAAGGCCCCCCTGGTCAGGAGCTCTGAGCAGAGGCAGAAGTGAGGAAGGGGGCTGCATGAACAGCATTCCAGGATTCCAGGCATGGACAACAGCAAGCCAGGCCTAGGCTGTTTGCAGAAAAATAGGGAGGCAACTGTGGTTTGGGGTGAGTGAGCATACAGGGGTGCCCCTCTCAAGTTCATGCAACCCTGAGTAGGGCTATACCCACCTTCTGGGGTTCAGACAAAAACTGGGGAGCATTTTGCTACACCCAGAGGGGCTCACCTAGAAGCAGGGACAAATCAGGCTGGTGGGAGCAGTCCTGAAGACTCCTGTGCTCTGGCCACTCAGCCAAGTCCAAACTAATTCAGTAGAAGCCAAAATGCTCCCCTTGCTCAGTTCACAGCATACACTCCACCACCCCCAACCGTCACTGCCCCACCAGGCAGATACAGTTCTCAGCCCCATCTGACGGATGAAGACAAGGACTCCCAAGGGTTAAGGCCCTTGCCCAAGACCAGGTGCTGACAAGTGGTAGAGCCAGATCTGTGCCATTGCAAAGGTCCACACATGCCCCCTTCCCACCCCTAAACCTCTGCCTGTGCTGTCCCTCCCCCAGAATGCCCAGGATGCTGCATGCCAGCACACATCCTTCCATCAATTTCAGTCCATTCTCCATAGTTCCTCTTCTTAAACAACCTGCCTGCCCAGACAGTTAGCCCAGGCAGAGCTCGTCATACTGTGGGTCTCTGCCCTGTCCTCTGCCTTCTAAGAGTGGGGACCCGGCTGTATGCTATATGAATTCCCTATGAGGCCAGCAAGACTTGTTGAATTGGCTGAGCTGTTTGGCAGGATGCTGGTGTTTAATGAGGACGCTGCATTAATTTGACAATTAAGGACTCTGGTCCCACTGCACACGGTTCTTGAATGGGGGCCATATGAAAACTTGGACCCTGGCTGGTGAGCCAGAAGCAGTGGGCTTCCTCCTGCTGCGGCTGCCAGCTGCCCCCCCCCCACAGCCTAGGGTTTCTCTGGCTCAGATTGCTGAACCATCCACCAAAATGGACTCCACCCCACCCTGCCCCAACAGGTGCCATTGGGAGGAAAGAGATGGGCTGTGTTTTACTTTGACATTAAAATCACTGATGAGGAAGAGCATCCAGTGCCTGCATACACTGGGTTTCTGGGCAAGGATTTTAGGAGATTTCCTTACGATGGTCCCATAAGGCAGGCACCCTGACAGGCCTATCTCTAGGGCTGGCCCCATCTGCCCAGGGACACAGAGCAAGTGGCAGAGCTGGGGTCCGAATCCAGGGAGTCTACAACCAGAGCCTACAACATAAAGCCACCACACCACACTACATTCCACATTCAATTGAAAGAACCCAATTCCTTCGTGACAAAGTGCCTCAGGATGAGACCCAAAGGGCAATGCAGTTACATCTACACCTACACACATGTGCACATGCGCCTGCACGCGTGCTCATTCTCTTCAAGGAGTCGGTGCACACGGGGCATCCAGTATGTGCTGGCTAGGGACAGAGACAGTCGAGGGGGTGGGGCTCCTTCCCTCCAAACCTTCTTATCTAGGGGAGGAACTAGCTAAAAATTCTGACCCACCTCAGGGGAGGGGCCTATGGGACTCCTGCCCAGTTACCTGCCCACGGCTCTCTCCAGAGGGATTTTGCCCATAACACCCGGGGTTCTGCCACTTGAACCCCAGCTTTGTTAGAAGTGTTTCTAGCTAAGATTTGGCCACCCTGACTGCTACAGCACTTTTTTTTTAAAAGTGAGAAATCAAGTCTATTAGCCCTAACTTTTCAGAAAAGAAACTGACCAAAACACCAAGTAACTTCTGGTCAGACTAACTCAGTCACCTCCAACACCTACGCTTTCAGGGCTGACTTGGAAGGAAGGCTTCCACAGAACCCTGTGCTCTCCATCTGCCTGGCCACTACTGGGCAGAGCCACCACACAGAGAGGCAGCTGGTATCTCCAGTCACCTTCTGAAGCCTGAGCCAGGGATGGCAAAGCGGGCTAATTACACAGGCAATTACTAGCACACACAGTTCAGAACCATCACCGAAGTCCTGAGAGACGGCAGGAGGGAGGCAGTCAGCACAGGCTTGGATGAGGCCTCAGGCCTGTGCTGAGACCCAAGGCACTCTCTCTCCCCTGTTCCTCCAGAGGTCACAGGTGGGTCACTTCTTGCTGTTCCCTTCTGGGATCCCAAGGGAATTTCGGCTATCAATCTCTCCCTTTCTGTTAACAAACTACAATGAAACTTTCATTAGAAAAAAAAAAAGTATGTGCAATCCATGCTTCTCGGTCCCCTCTCCCCACACCCTGTGTGACTGGTCAGGCAGTTGTCCCCTGGTGCCTCTAGCCTTTGCCCTTGGACCCCCTGAAGCCCGTGGACTTGGCCACCTGGCAATAAAAGCTCACCATATATTCAGGCCTGAGACACAGGGCAGCAGGGTCAACTGCCTTTCTACAAAGGGAACTCTCAGGCAGGTGGCACCCAGGCAGCCTCTGAGACACACCCTAACCAGGGAGCCCTGACTCTGGGTAGAAGAAGAGGAGCTGACCAAACCCTCCTGACTCTTATCTTCAGTCCAAAATTCATGGGCAGGTTCAGTTTCTCTCCACCCAGCTAGGAGGCCCTTCGTCCTCTGCAGGCAGGCAAGCATCAACCACTGCCCTCCAGGGAGGAGGGGAACGCAGAGACCAGAGGGGAAATGGTGGAAGCAAGCCTGTATCCATGGCTTGTAACTATGGGCAGGTGCTATCAGTAACCTGATTATTTTACAACTGGGGTCAATTTCTCTGGAACTGGGTTCCCAGTGCTTCTGAAGTTGAGCCAT